TTAAATTGATGACATGAATTTGTAAATTTAGATACCGTTTATATGTTTTCTGCATCTTGACTGCTTGAACTGGACCTTTTAACCAATCAGTCCATGACACTTCAGTGAACAACAATGTAGTCAGATACTACAAGATGATTAAGGGGGAATACTGTATGCATGAAGGCATTTACCATTATTACTTATAAGACACAAAAAACAATAGACTTCATCAGTGAATGACTGAAGTTGAATCATTTCACTAAATGCCGTTATTTGCTGCCGTTTTGGGCTGTTATATCTTATTAAATTATAACTACACACTTGAACAATGCAGAATAATAAGGAAAAAATACAGTAAAGTATGCTCTCAGGCAGCACAGGATCGCATCTAATATTTGTCTGTTTTATTGTCACTTTACTGCATTTGTGCATACTTTGCTGTATTCTTGGAATAACCTAGCATGTAGTGGAAGCCAATGCCATCCTGTACCGCCTTATTACAACTTTTCTCATTTTCCACTGTCACATGATGATGTAAACAAGGTAAAATGCAAAAACATGTCAATAAGTGTGACATCATTTGAATGCATTTGTAACAAACACGAATCTATTTCTTTCTGGAGCACATTTTTCTCATCTTCTACATTCTTTAATCTTCATTCGCAGTTCTATGCAGAAGTCCAGGAAGCCGATTCATGGATGAAGGAAAAGCGCCCTCTATTGGTCAGCACAGATTATGGTAAAGATGAGGACTCTGTGCAGAAGTTGTTGAAAAAACTGGAAGCCCTGGATTTAGATCTGGAGAGTTTTAGAAATACCGTCCAACATCTAGAAGTGCTTAGCAGTGGACTCCTAGAAAGAGAACACTTTGAAAGTAAAGATATTGAACAAAAGCAGGTGAGAATTGTTATATTCAAATCGAGCAGCGATGGATATAAATGTAGCTTCTTTTATTTTTCTAATTAATTATATAATATTTTCTTTAAAGCACCACCTGTGGGGAAAAAAATTGTGTTTGAAATGTTGCACCAATTAATTAACTAGAGATAATACAGAATAGTTGTTTATTCTTGATATGCTCGGTATCATTTGCCATCTTAGGCTGAAGTGGAAGCTAGTTACGAGGAGTTAAAACAACTATCGGCTAAGAGGAGGTCAATGCTGATGGAGCACAGGAAACTTTACGAATTCCATCGTGAAGCTGAGGAAGCTGAAGGTTGGATGCATGAAAAAGAAGTCATCGCAGCCTCGGAAGACTGTGGGAAAGACTTGGAACATGTTGAAATACTCCAGAAGAAGTTTGAAGACTTTGCTCAAGATTTGGACTCAAACGAAGAGAGGATTGTGGCTGTTAATGAAATGGGTAGTTCACTGATACAGGATAATCATACTAAATCTGACAACATACATGCCAAATGTGATGATGTGAATAAGAAGTGGGCTCAGCTAAAAGAGCTGACAAACACTAGAATGGAGGTAAGTTGTCTGCGTATTGGAAAACCTGTGTATTTTGACCAAGTATGAACTCTTCTGACAATGGAAAAAATCTCTCAGCTCATGACAAGCCGCATGCTACTTTTCACATTAACTGTATCATTTAAACATCTCTGAATAACTGACGATGATCAACATCTTCATATTTCTCCCTTCATATCATAAACTATTTTTCATTTCAGGCACTTGCCTGTGCTAAGCTAGTACATCAATTTGATTACGATGCGGATGAAACCAGAGCGTGGATTCTGGAGAAAGATTCGACAGTGTCGACGGAAGATTATGGACATGATCTAGTCAGTGTACAGGCATTGAGACGAAGGCATGAAGGAACTGAGGTAAGTTGTCCTTCCTATCATGTGAATAATTCTGATTGGATGTGAATTATTCTACTGCTTTATATTATAATCCCTTAATCAAGATGACATGTCTCATCAGTTATGTTATTTCTTCCAAGCCATACCTCAATAACTTGTCAACCATATTAATACTAAATAATTAAAAGTTGAGGATTTTATAATTTAAGTAGGTTTGGGTTGGAAAATTGGAGTCACCAGACAATTTGCATTTTTGCACTGGTTTCTATGGTGAAATAATTTTTAACGCAAGATTTACAAAATTTTGCTTGAAGACAAGAATAAAAAATTGTGTATTATTATTGATATGGATTCTAATATTGTTATAATATTAAATTTAGTTTCTAGTATGATATTAGTTTTCTATAATGTATTGCACGTACATGCAATAGTATGCTTCGTAGTGATTTTGAATTTGGCTTAAACTGCCTTAAATATATAATCAGCTTTTGCCAAGGTGAAAACTGATAACAAATCATTTTTCCCAGACTCAGTACATAATTGAAGAAAAAAAAAAACATATTAATGCTTCTCACCTGATCACATGTTGTTTTTTCTCCACATACTGGCGGGTATTTGATTTTTGAAGTATAAAGAAAGAAGGGAGAAATACTGATATTTATACTGACAACAAAATATATTAATTACATTTACATTCTGTCAATAAATTTTAATTTCAGAGAGACTTAGCTGCATTGGGGGAGCAGGTAGAGTCGATATGTACCAATGCGGAACAACTCATCGATCAGTTTCCTGAATCAAGTGAGAGACTGATGGGGAAAAGAGAAGAAGTTGTACAAGCGTGGAATTTACTATTAGAAAAATCTGATCAAAGAAAGGACAAACTTGATCAGTCTGAACAGTTGCAGTCATATTTTGATAATTATAGAGAATTAAGGTAAATCATCCCTCTTAGTATCAGTGTTATTGTATAGGACTTAATTATCAGCTGTGTTTTATTATTACTGATAGTTATATACTCATGGCATGTCATCCCATGTTTACATGTCTGTTTTGAAGTGGATGTCCTTGGCTTGGCAACACACCAATTGAAATCTACTGTTATTTGGTTTTCAGTGCGTGGGTAACAGAAATGATGGCATTGATAACCTCTGATGAGTTAGCAAAGGACGTCGCAGGTGCCGAAGCATTAATTAAAAGACATGATGAACACAAGTCAGAGATAGATGGTAGGACTGATAACATCAACGAGTTCACTCGAACTGGACAGAGTCTCATTGATGATGGGCACTTCTTAGCTGAAGAGGTAAGAAAAAATAGTAAATCTCAAGGAAAGAGGAAAAACCAATCAATATTTAGATAGTGTCAGTATCTGTAACAATGTTACACTCAAAGGCACTTAGCCATGCCACACTAAATGTTTTGAGTCTTGAGTTCATTTCAGTATTAGAGAATTGCAGAGTTTGGATGCAACAAAACAGAATGCATGCCTACAAACTGATAATTGTTTGTACATTTTTATCAGCAGATCTAAGAGTAGGGCCAGGTTTATACTGTCTGAATGACATCTTGAACGATTTTGTATTGAATTCTGTGACAAACTGGCAACCAATAAAAATACTGCAGATATTCTGGAATGAGTTACAATTCTTGCAGATGTATTTAGAGTAGAATGTTGATGGCAGAAAGAGGATGGGTATGATTGTCCTGTGTTTATGGAGAATTTAAGTTCAAGGTTTGTAATTAATGACCAACCCTACATGGTGATCTTTCCATGTAACGATCTCCAATTATTAAACTCTCATTGATGGCATTTGTTTTATTTTCAGATTAAAACCAAAGTTCAAAAACTCAATGCTGACTTCCAAGCTTTACTAGACACATGGGGGCAGCGTAAAGTATTGTATGAGCTTAATCTTGATACACAGTTGTTTAAACGAGACGCCGATTCAGCTGAAGCATGGTTGATTGCCAGAGATCCTTTAGTTAGAGATGAGTCCTTTATGGTAAGAACTATAATCATTTTTAAATTCACAGTTTAACCTTTATAGTCTGCACTTTCCTTCAGACGATTGAGACAAAAATAACCAATTTTTTTGTGTAAAAACTGAAAATTGATGCAAATTTTGTCTCCTGGCTCCAAAATTAGGGTTCATTTCCAGAAATATTGAACAATATAAGAAAAAAAGTGCAGAAAATTTTGGCCGAGAAAGTCTGTTGTTGAAAAGGTGAAAATATGTCTCTGAGACTGTGGGTTTCAGTCGCTGTTATACATGTAACTGTAATATATTGTTTATCTTGTATTCTTGTTGCAGCGTGACGATAGCAATATTGAAGAGTTAATAAAAAGTCACGAAGATTTTGAGAAGACAATTGAAGCGCAAGGAGACAAGTTTAAAGCTTTGGAAAGGATGACGATGGTAAGTCCTTGTATATGGGTTTGTATGTGTCTGCATGCATGTGAGTGGTTGTAGTCGTGTGTATTTTTAGCTCCGCTGTCGACTTTGTCGAGCGAAGCTTATCATATGAGTGATTGTCCGTCGTCGTCGTCCGTCGTCGTCGTCCGTGTCAATGTTTTACTTTTTCGACTTCTTCTTGAAAACTACAAGCCTAAATGCTTTGATACTTGGTGTATATGTACCTTGGGTAGACCTCTCTTAGGTTTGTTCATTTCATGTTGATATCTTTAATTCTCTAATTTTGGTGAATATTTTTGTCATTTTTGGTAAAAACTGATATTTTCGACTTCTTGTTAAAAACCGCAAGTGCAATTGCTTTGATATTACATCTATAGGTACTACATGTGGACCTCTCTCAGATTTGTTAATTTTGTAATGTCATCTTTAATTCTTTAATTTTGGTGAATATTTTTGGTAAAAACTGATATTTTCGACTTCTTGTTAAAAACCGCAAGTGCAATTGCTTTGATATTACATATATAGGTACTACATGTGG